TCCTAGGTGAAAGGGCGGAATCCTGAGCCGAAGATTCTTGACTGTAAGGAGCGTCGACTGAATGATGGACATTGGCACGATATTGTTGTCATTAAAAAAGAGCGAGAACTGATCCTTATGGTAACATTGGCTTCATCACACTCTACTAGACTTAGTTCTTCTTTCAAATTATATCTCTCGAGGTCGACGAGCTGTTACCAGTTTCTATCAATGACTGTCCAACACCGAAAGTTATGCGTCGACGCATGTACATCGGAGGAGTGATATCCAAACATCGTTCTAGCTTCAATCTTCAAGTGCCTGGATACGACGGTTGCATAAGAGATTTCAAAGTGGGCTTAAACAGAATCCTTCCTTAATTTACAGCCAACGTAAAAAGTTCTTTGCAGGTGAATAATGTAGCGCAAAGCTTAGAAGGTGAATCATCTCGTGACATCATCCCTTGTGCTCGCCCAACGAAGGGTATGTACGCCCACGAGGGAGGATTTGCAGTTTTTGGTAAGGAAAATCCGATTACGCCTTCTAAGCCCTATCTCTAGTTCGAATTTGCAGATGGCCTCCAGAAAGCAATCAAAGATGGCTCTCGTAACATCGATATCTCACTGAGTTTCCGACCAATTGTAGACGAGGGTACATTACTGGCTATACTTACCAACAGTAATCCGGAAAAAGCACGTCTCACCATTGAGATAAAGCGGGACAAGGTGGTGACAAAAGGCACTCAAGTACTTTGTTTTTAATACTTTTATCTCTTAACAGGTACTGGTTACTGTCATTCATGAAGCTAGCGGACTGGAGATAAGAGACGCCATCCCAGCTCTACGCCCCCTTTGTGACGATGCTTGGCATACTATGCATTTGCTTGTGGGACAGAAGGTCATGGAAATCAGGATTGATGAGGTGTGCTTGGCGAAAACATAAGAGAGTATTATGTTTTGCTTGTCAAAAAATTCAAAAAGTATGATCTTTGCAGGAACGCAACGAACTTCCAATTGATCACATGTCAGCAGAAGCTCGAGACCTACTGCTCAATCTTCCTCTGAATATCGCAGGGGTTTCAGGTGAGTAGCAGAGAAAAGAACATTTTAGAAAACGAACAACATTCAAGTTAAAATGATTATCTGTTTCAGCTCCCGTTGCGGAAAAACTTTCGATGACGTCCCTTGTTGGATGTTACAAAGATTTGAAGCTCTCAGGTCACCCAAAATATTTTGAGAGTGCGCAGAAGAGCAACAAAGCTGCCGTTGATGCGTGCCCATTTCACTAAGAATTCGATGATGTCAATACAATAGGTTATTTCCAAACTGTTTGTTGATTTGTAAAGTTTATCTCACCTCATATCTCGCCTACACTTTCTCTGTAAAATCGTCACTTTTTAAGGATTATGGCCAATCTCATCTGTGTCAAACTTTAAGCACTTTATTAAGTTATTTAATTCCATTAACATTCACTTCTTTCCCATATAATCATCTAAAATAAAGAAAATCTTGTAAGGAGGTAATAAGCTATTGAAATATCAACTCTGTCCTATTTATTTGAGTCATCCGTTTGAAGATAGGGCTCAGTACGGTAAAAGAGTGGATTGAGTGTTGCAGTCGCAACATCCAACTTTGTGTTAAAGTTGCGCAAAGTGTAATGGTTAGGATACGTGAAGGACTTCCATAAAG